TTTTCTAACGAAAATTTAAAAAAGAATTTATTTTAACAGAAACTCAATATGTATATTTCTTATCAATATACATTTAAAATTGAAAAGTAGAAATGCAGGAAACTTCTGAAGAAAAATTCATCAAAACACGCCTATGAGTTCTGCGAAATGAGACTTGCGGTAAGAGACTCTCTGTATACACAAGCAAATTGAAGTAAGTAAAGTTAAGCGCCCTAAGGTAATTTAATTTGTTTCTTTCGAATATTCCTCGATATTCTCCATCTCCTCCTGTTTCTCCTCCTCTACGAAGCATCGAAGTATCTCTGCGAAACTTCAACTGCGACTTGGTATTAATCTTGTTAGACATTTTCTTTTAATAACCGGCCGGAGTGCCTGCTGTTAATTAAGGCGAATTTACACGTGGGAGGGGGGAGAGGCGTTTACACGGGACGAAATTCTTTCGCGGCGAGAATCGCGAGATTCCAACGTGCGTGAATATAGGAATCGACTAGATAAGGACAGTCGGATTGCAATCGGGAGATCGAATGTGTGTTACGAGCATTCGACATCCTCGCGCGGCGACAGTAACGCTCCGAGCGTAACGCAAGGCTTTCCGTTTCAAAAACTCAGTATCTCCACTCGATGTTCTCGTTTCGTATATACCGTGACATGCAATAACAGAACTGGAAATAGCAAGCCTTTGAAAAATCACGAACTTGATACATTTATTTTTTGCGCAATATTTTCCACTCATTCAATTGCTAAACGCCACTCTCCATTTGAAGTCATAATGATAATGCACGATACAATCTCTAGAAATGTTGTAGCTTCTCTGAACTTCGTGTTCTATTGGCATTTCGTAGTCATACAAAAGGTCGGTGTGCGGCAAATACATTTTATTGAGATTTGCATATTCCTCGAATGTGTCCAAATCAATTAAATGTCGCTCAACGTTATCCTTCTTGACGATCCCAATTGGCCGATGTCTCTAACTAAAACGTTTTATGTGGAACTCGATCTTATTATATGTTGTGCTACTATAGTCATGAATTCCCCGGCACCGAATGGCCGCGCATACCAAGATGGAATTATTAGTCGGCGGGATATGCCGCGCGCAATTTCGGAATATCTGCCGTTCGAAGGATCCGACGACGAAGTCGGGAATCACGGGAGGGCTGGGCGAGAGAGAGAGACCCTCCCGGGGTTTCGGAGGTTCCTATCGGGGAAAGTTTTAACGGCGCTTCATTAAGCAAAATAGTTTCATACGTACGATCGTACATGCGGCGCGACGCGTCGGTATTCGAGTTTTGGGTGGGGGGGAGGGAGGGGAGAGAAAGGGCAGGGGGCGAGAGCGAGTTCGAACGCGACGGGAAACGGGATACGAGAGAATGGGGCGCGCGCGGGCTTGCGTTTGCTAATCCGACGGCTCGCGGCCCCGGAATTGTTTCCGGCTGCAGTCAGCGGACCCGCGCGTTTCCCGACGACAATAATCGTCGCCACTCGACGCCGAAACGCGCCAGAGGAAATGCTTGCGCGCGCGCGCGCGACAGCGCGACTGCGAGAGGGCAAAAAGCGAGAGGCGGGATTAATTCCGCGCTCTCTCGACGCCGATAGCCCCGGATATTCCGCTCTCGCTTTACGAACGAGCCGAACGAGCCGAAGCACCGGCGTTCCCGTACGCGTTTACGAAATCCGAGTTTTGTCCGAACGATGGGGGCGAATGGGGGCAGATGGGTACGAGATGCAGTTTCCAAGTCTTCCGGCGCATGCCCATTAAAGGAGAAATTCTCCCGTACACTGTCGTTTGCATGCAGACATTGCCAAAAAGAGAGTACGGGTCAAATGCAGCGCTGAAAATACGATAGATATGCTTGGCTTCAAACTGTATCGTGATTTTTATTAAAGTGACCTATTGTCATTCTGATCGCTCGATGCTGGGCATTGTGACAAATAAACACGACACCGTGTCGGATTTTGAGTTACTGGAGAAAGAGATGGGCATGGAAATGGAACGCGTCGAAGGTTCGCCGCATTGGCTTGAAAAAGCGTGTATCCGGTATCAAGCATATTTGGTTGTTGTCATGCTCTGCCACGTTGGCAGGTCCGAACGTTTGACAAATGAACGCCGGGGCGTGACAGAGACAAACTGGAGGGGTTACGTTTCTCACGGTTAATATTTCTTTTTTTTTTCCCCCACGCGAGAAACTTACTTGCTTGATGTAGTTTTGCGAACGCCACGGGTGACACGCGATTACCATTCTCTCTACGAAGTTACGTTACGCTTAAGTGCGAAGCGTCGGTCGGGGCGCGCGCGCGCGCGGTCGGGACGTTTAACGACCGGCAATCCAGGATCCAGAAAAGGATGCCACCTTCTCGCTTCTCGCGCGCCCGTCCACGCCTACTCTCTCACCCCAAGCGCGGCTTCTCTCGCTCTTTATAATTCTTCGCGAAACATTTTTTTTTTCCTCACCCTTTTCATCTCCCTCAACAGCCCTCTCTCCACCTACCCCCTCCGCCCCTCCCGCGTCCCTCCCTCCTCATTCTCGACGCCCATCCCGTCGTCGTTTGCATAAAGTGAGCTATCCGCGCTTTTAATATACGCAAATGAAGTTACGCGCCGGAACTAATCATATTTGCATGCGGAACAGCAATCTCCTTTGAGCCCTTGTCATACTTATTACTCCAGTTTAGTCGCTAGAGAAAATTTTATGACGAACAGCGCCGGGTTGTAACGCGGCGCGGCGTGAGGATCATCAGCGATTGATCGCCCTCACCCGGAAGGGAGGATGCGGCCTCCTATCGGCGTGATGCGCTTAGCGCTTAAATATTCTCATTTCGTCACGTTAAACCGCTTACTTGAAACTATCGAGAAATAATTACTGATAATGGTGCCGCAGTTACGACATATCGCCCGCATTTATTTTAACCAAGCGAACTGATATAAAGCGAGGACATCACACAGATTGTTCGCTCGTTTCGAAGTAATACAAAATGAACGTGCGAAACATATAGTACCTTTTATCGAAGAAAATTAAATAGCAATTTGAACGTCCGAAGCGTCGCAGTACAGTTAAATTATCTCCGCATGGACGTATCTTTTTTTCAACTGTGGAGTCTCCGTCTCCCGTGAGTCCCATAATTTCTGCAAATCGGCGCACAACGACGATCGAAACTTTATTCGATTAAAGTTACGCCGTAATACCCGCTCGTTCATTAAGGATTAAAGGCGGAGTCAGCCGTTTCGGATGCAATATGACAATGTAAGGCAAACGTCGTCGCAGCCGGCGGGTTTGCGAAACACTCCTCGAGGAAGTCCGCAACTACGGCGAAGACGATAGACGGTGGTATTCTTGTCGGTATTCTCCCGGCAGAAACTTCCGGGTGCGCGACGTTTGTCGTTCCTCCGCAATCGCGTTTAATTAATTATCGATCGATCCGCCCGTGGGCGTTCAATCGCGGAGTACGTCCCGCCGACTGACAATGAGAACGGAGCCGGGCAGACGGTATTATATGACTGTAATCGAAAGACTTAGCTCAATAATGTGATTTATCGATCCGGCGTCGATTTGACGGCGCCCATGCCGGCCTATTCAACAAATTAAAATCGGAATTCTATTGAATGTAGACTCCGTTAAATCTGTGAGATCCAAAGTACTTTCCCGGAGTAGCTATGTACTTTAAAAACAAGACGAAAGCGATTGGATTTACGTCAGGTGCAAACCGTTGTTCAAATTTGAAACATTATAAACTCTCGTTAAACATATAATATAACAATAGTGAAGTTTCACTCTACCCTCCTGTTAAGTATTACGGAAAATATTGTAGACTTACTTTCAGGTGTATACCGTTGTAATTATTATGTAATGTATTCTGGAAAATATTGTAGAACCTTCTATAATTATAGAAAATAATGTTTAGTGACGTTATTTGAAAAATGGAATGAAGTTTGTAACGAGAGCATAGCGCTTTTATACGCTAGAATTAACGTAGATTCAATTTACTTAAACAAAGTCACTTAAAATACACGTAACGACGCAGATTGCGTGACTCTCGTTGCGTGACCATATGTATACGTTCAACGTGTAGATATTATTAGCGCTCATATTGAACGCTTGAGGAAACATCGTAAATATAGGAACGATAATAAAGTAGAAATTATTTGAGAGGTAGAACAACTTCGAAATAAAGGGAGGGAAAGAAGCTGAAATTGTAATAAGAAGCGAATCTTTATGCGAGAGACATTGTTTGCTCAACATGAAACGCTGCCATCGTATATGCATTGTGTTTAAGCAACTTCAATTTTCCGGGAACTCCGATATGCATTCGACGGCTGCATTATCATTGACTACGATGCAGCCGCATTTCGGTCACGCACGATCAGGTATTATCGTCATCATTGGCTATAGCGGCCATTCGTGAGCTACCGAGCATGCAGAGGGCAATCGCGGTCTGGAGAAGCGCTTACATTGCCCCTCCTCCGCCTCTGAATATTGTATCGAGAGATACTTGCGTTGATAACGAACCGCTAATAAATAAGCGCACGTGCCGGCCACTACTGTGTAGATCCACTGCTGTAAAAGATTTAGAAGCAAATTAAACCACTAAAATCAACTAAAACTTTTCGCGCTAGGAAAAATTATGAATTTATTATCGAGTGGCACATAAATATAACTAATTATCGCATTTGAATATACTTGTATTGCAATGTTTATTAAATATTTTCCAAATAATTTATTAATTTAATAATTTATTATTAAGTTTCCAAAATTCTTTAAAAGAAATATAGCTATTTAAAAGAAATTTCACTAACCGTACTAACCGTCACCTCCTTTTCTCTCTTTGCTTCCAGGTGTAGTAGTGTTCATCCTCACTAACCCCGCGAAGAATCCTCTACTAACATAAAAAATGCACTCCTAACTAACCAGCGCGACAGACTCCGACCACCGCTACTGTCGTCGGCGCTATCGTCCATCGGGTCGTAACGCGGTCCTCCCGCGGAACGATCATGCGAATCCCCGAAAATGCGCAGGACCAGCAGCAACGGCCTCAAGCTCGACCTGACGGAGAACACGCCAGGTAGCTCGTTGTCGCGGCTGCCGAATCTGGTCGAGCATGCGGAGACCTGCCAGGCGCTGTCCGCCGGAACCGGTGAGAATTTGAGCAGCAAACTGCCTAACGTGGTTGAGGGCTCGATGGACTATGGTAGCGAGCGAAGGTCCTCCCGTTACCTGGAGTACCAAGAGATCAAGTCCTATCAGGACCCCCAGTCGTCCGCCTCGGCGGCGCCGGCCTACGAGGGGGCCTATCACGATCAGGCCCGGGGATACCGGAACTACGATCGTAAGGGTGTCGGCTTCGATCGGGAGAACCTCGAGAGGTACGACAACAGGATCTACCCGGAGGACGGGCTGAGATACGGCGCCGATCGCCGCGTGGATCAGCACACCTACCAGGAATCGGACCTGGACGCGCCTTACAATCGTAACGACGCGCAGAAGCTCAGCAGGGCTTATCCGGAGCTTCAGGACCCCAGCAGGCGGTACTCGCGCGACCTGACCGACTACGAGTACGCGTCGCGCTACGCCGAGGAGACGCTGAAGCTGGAGCCCAAGAAGGATCCGCACCATCACCATCATCACCCGGGCAAGATCTACGAGCAAGCTGCCTCCAAGGGTTACGAGTCCGGCGTGAAGACTCACGATTCCGCTTACGATCTGGGCACCTGCGCCGGACAGCAGGATCCGCCGGCCAGACAGTATGAGAGCAAGTATCACTCGGTCAGCAAGATGTACGGCACTCTGCCCAGGTACGAGACCAGCAAGTCTTACGAGCCGACCTACGAGTCCAGGCCCACCTTCGAGCCCAAGTACGACGAGCAGTCGTACGAGTGCGGTGCTAAGCCCTACGAATCCAAGTACGAGCTGACGAGCTCCAAGAGCTACGAGAGGGCAACCAAGTATGAGGGCACCTCGTCGTCCAGATACCAGGACAAGTCGTACGATCAGACGTTGAAGATCGGCGAGCTGGGCTCGTCCTCCTCCGGCGCGTATGTCAGGAAGCACCAGGATCAGGAGGAGACCGGCGCCGCGGAGAAGATGAACGGATACAGGAAGAATAATTTTGAGGCTTACGGGGTTTATTCGGATCCCGAGGACGACCACGGCTTCCTGGCGGACAAGAAGGCGCCCCAGTATACCTACAAGGGCGTCGTGGTGAACGTTAGCGGGGAGTCCGCGGTGGTCGATCAGAAACGGTCCAAGGACAGCAGGCAAACCGAGGTGATCAGAAGCCCTTGGTGCAGGCCCACGATACTGCTGCTCCTGCTGGTGCTCCTGGTCGTTATCTTCGTCTTCGTCGCTGGAATACTGTTGTACTTTAATTGTAAGTCTCTGCCATTATTTGACACGACACGATTTTTTTGCGAGAAGTTTCACATTTTATTTTTCATGTACAATTTTTACAAAAAAAAATAAAAAAAGGTTGTTCGGCTTTTTGTTCGCTTAAAAATAATTCGTGAACGTTTTTCGCATGAAATGTATTTCAATGTAAAAGTACATTCTATATCGCAAATATTTTTTTACTACAGAAATTTTGTTGTATTTGGCATTCGTCAAATTAAATATTGCATGCAACAAAATTCGTCGAGTTCTAGTGCCAACGATATGCAAAAATTTATTTGAAAGTTGTTAGTTCTAGTATTTAATTTTATATTACGTATTTAAAGCTTGTATAATTCTGTTCGGTGTAATTCATTATGGACGATAGTGCGGCTTTTTGCGTAACAAATTTGCTAAATCCTTGAATTCAGTTTAAAGCTTATTTACGTACTCTACATCAAATTTTACGTTGTGGAATAAGGAGCATTATGCAGTCAAACATGAAACAATTGAACTTTAAGTGCAACTTTCAGAAATAGCTTTTGGTATCAGTCGCAGCGAAAAGGTTAAATAGCAAATTTTCCTCTTCAACACGTAATGTCGAACGAATAGTTACGTTCGTCGATTCAATTAAATTTACTTTCCCGACAACAGCTAATTAAGGGTAATGCTCGACGGACGCTCGATAACGATCCGTGACGGAATATTCGAGAACGCGGCCGCTGCTAATAAACTTTTCCGCACTATTTCTTCCTTCGTTCGCCGCCAGTTAATAAAACGTGCCATTTGTCCTTATATACGGTGTCCTAAATGTGATGCACTTCTTACTACAGATGCAGAGCAAACACGTAGACGATTTTTCTTCTTCAAGGATTAAGGACGAGAGTCCTATATTTGTCACCATTTACTAAATTTCTCAAATCTTCATTAAAGCTCGCTCAAAATTGTCTGAAGATTACGACGTGTAATCTTTTCGAAGCTTAAATCCTCATTTTTCAACAATATATTCACAGCATGAATATTCCGACGTTTTCCCTGTAATCTGTACAAATTCGCGATGATAATACATATACTTCAGCTCGTGGAAGGAAATGACCGACATATACCATTGCATATGTGGAAGTTTTTATTTATTTCTCTCGAGACATCCTGTGTTGCACCCAATGTATTTTATTGTAACGCTACGAGCGTTCGTGAGGCGACTCGGCGATAACGGCGGGTGATTTAGCTAATGAGCATCCGATACCAATTATTTACGGGCGTTCTCGCGTTTGCCATAGTAATAGCCGCCATAGTACGACGGCTAGCACGGTCGACGGAGACGACCGGCGGAGACGACGACGGAGACGAAGACGATGGCGAGGACAGTGACACGTGCCGACGATACGTTAAGCCGGAACGGTTACTGTTCTCCACGGCAGTTTTATGTGTCGAATTTGACATGCCGGGCACGTAGGGACTTGCCACTAGCGAAACTGTTCGGTCGGAATTACAATGCGGCCAGTGGATGGAGGGTGGACCGGTGGGTTTAAGGAAAATAGGTGGAAAAGAATGACGGGGACCGCGCCGGACAGACCAATCCGTTTTCGCTTCGTGCGCGATCGTGTTTGTTGAGGACGAATGGCAACAGGAAGGTACGCGAGGTCGCATTATTCAGGGCTAACCAGCAATTTTAACTTTAACCTTAATGTAAAGGTAAATTAGGGATTCTCGCGCTAGATTCGGGTGTTTGCGAGAGAGTAAATCGGCGGAACTTGACTTCAGTTTCGATCAAACTTTGAAAATCTATCGTGTAAAAAATTGTAGTATTCCACAACAAGAAAAGAGAGCAGGAGGAATACGGAGTGGACGTAACGTTTTACTTAGTTTACCGTGTAACGAGTAGCGAGTAACTAATTGAACAACTTCGTCGATTCGCGCGCGCGCGAGTGATTAATTTCAACGCCAAACTCGCTAATGGATCCTGTTAAAAAATTTTAGGAGGTAAACGTATACAACGCGGCGCTGAACGCGGATGTTAACGTAACGTTGGACTACCGGGCATTTTCAGGTGGAAACATTTCCGCGGAGCGGGGAAAAAAAGGGGCGTACGATATTTGCGCGCTGTGTATGAAATATCGCGATAAATACCATTGTGAAAACGTGTGCAGAAGTACTTTTCTGCTTACGCGGTTATGGTCAAGCCCTATATCAAAACCGGGACCCCTCCCCGCAGATAAGCTTGTTATAGGATAGTACAGGATCATAACAGTTTATAGCCCTTGCTATGGCAGTCGGCTGTCTCGTATAATTCACATAGATGGTTTATTTCCAATTATTTTCTAGTGAATTATAAACTTTGCAAAATGAATACTTTTTTAAGTTAAAATTCTATAAAATTTTGTCGATCCTTTGCGACGTAAAACGCGTGAATGAAATATCCATATACAAGTATGTATTTTTTATTTAATAATTATATATGAATATACATACATATATGATTTATATATAATATCTTATTTATGTATGATATGCAATGAAAAAAGTGAAAAAATATTTTTCCAAACGTATTTAATAACCAGGAAAAAGGAATTAACTTTCAGAGTAAAGCTGCTGCTTTAATTTCATGCATTGCTATTCAAATTAGTCAAAATTTTTCTGTAGAATATATGTTAATGTAATAGATTAATATGTAATTAGCTCGAAAAAATTGCATCTTGCATGTTCGGCCTATCATTGCTAATAAGTTTCCGAAATAACTTTGCCATAAAGATTTATCGCTCACCTGTTTACGGCTCGTGGATTACGTGTTACATATACGAGGAAAGACCACTACATCCTTTAACGACATCCTAAAAGGACGTATCATTCGCGATAGAAATTTATTTTCCTCCGACGTGTACGCACGTTTATTGGAAATGAAAAGAGAGACAAATAAACCCACTGTTATACTAAAGCAAGACGGAGTGAAGCGACTTGCTCGTGTGAAATCAATTTCAAGTGGTAAATCCAAAAAGTGGCGATAAAATAATTCGCTTGGAAAAATTCTATTAATTATAATGCTATTTCCCTGACTAGACACTGAAAAATTATTAGAAATTTTACTCAAAACTCCACTTGACTAAATTTTATTAATGTACCTTCGAATAATAAGCTCAATCCAGTGGTTTTGAAATAATTATATCAAAATTATGTTCGTTTAATTAAAATGTGAATATAATTAATTAACAATAGTATACTTTAATTTTTATTTTAAGAAAATCATAAAGATTTGTAATATAATTTTGGTCTTTTAGAAGTCATTCAATGTTTGCATAGATTTTACGTAATAAATGTGGATCACGCGTGTATGATCTTCGTCTCTAAGAACAGTTTTCTATATCCTCTGTGCTTCTTATGAGTTTATGAGATACCATAACGCGCTCAGGCGAGCTTCCATCGCACCCGCGAAGAATATAAAGCGTCTCGTTGAGACCATCTCGGGCGGACCAAGTCATTCGCGAGAAACGAGCAACGCACGCTCCAATTCGTATTTATAATCGAGCGGAAGTGCATTATTATGGGGAGGAAAGAACTGAGTTGCCGCCCATCCCCGCGTCAGTTTTCCTCTTCTCGGATATCGGGCGCGGTATTCGATATGGGCGAATACCATTTTTACGTGGTTTACGGAATGTTGTTGCCGTCTGAGAACGACCGCCGTTGTGTTTTACGTTACTGGACTTTTACGCCGGTAGAGTTTTACCGTGCGTCGCTCATTCGTTTTTTTCCCCCGCCTTTTTCCGAGGAATCCATTAGCGGATATAGAGATGGAAGCAATCTCTTTTTAGCAAATAGAGCCGAGATTTTTCGTGCGACGCGTTCACGTTATATTGTATCGTTGTGTGCATATTACGACTTTTACAACGATAGCTTGTGGCATTTTGAGCACGGGATAATGCAATAATTGTGGGATAATGCAATAATTAGACTCGTAAAGCACGCGGAAACACTTAAATTCGGGACAATTGACATGCGCAGTTTGCAGGCGGCTTAAGAGAGAGAGAGAGGAGAGCGTGGGCACGCTCTCTTTCGCAAATCACCGTGACTCGCCACCGCCGGCCGTGTAAGCCACTTTTTTCTGTCCACGTCTGCTTTCCCGCGCGACAGCGACGGAATCGACGTTTCGCCTGCGATGGCATGACAATAGAGCATCGGCCAGTGCTTGGATCGAAGAACTGTTTCAGCGTCCGCTCGCATATGGGGCGTTCATTCTGCAATCAGAAGTTCTTCGTATCTTTCTATAAATCTTTTCTATTATCTTTTGATAAAAATTTAATTGATGATATATCATGTAACTGCAACATTTTCATATTGAACGTTGAATGAAAAAAACCTGAAATGACTAAATGCTACATGCTTAGAAAGTATTCAAGCTGCACAATTTGAAATTTCATCTGCGTAATTGACGGAAAAGTGATTTGTGATTAAATCTGAAATTTAATTTCTGTCGATTTAATTTCCATTCTGAAATAAATAGAAACTTAGTATTCTATTATGCTTGATGCTTATCGTGAACAAAGCCTGGCCTGTGGCATATACGGTTGAGGGCGGACTCAGTTCATCGCTCCAAGACACCCAGTACAGAAGCCCATGTCGATTCTCTTTTTCTCCCTATATTTCGGCTGCGCTTGGCGGCGGTCGACCAGGGCGTTCGAGCGATTCGGGTTTATTTTCGGGTCAAGTTTTCGCCCGGCCGCTTCGCAATCAGCCGGCGCATTGTCCGGCGCGGACAATACAACAACCACGGCGACGGAATCCCGACGCGCGTAGGAATCCCAGAGTTATCGTCCGTCCGCGAGCGTGCGCGCGGGGGCTCGTCGGACCGACGTGTTTTCGCAGGAATTTTCGGAAATTCAATTCGGATGCCGGCGCGGTCTGCAACATCGTCTGCGACGACTCCGATCTCATAGAGCCCGGCGTTAAGTGGCAAACTGCAATGTGATACCGCTGACGGTTACGTGACATTTACTTAATTGCTGTTGGAGA